CTTCTCCAACAGCAGCAACAACCACGGACGCCAGGGACGCAACAACGGCGGTAACGGCAACAGCAACGGCAAGGGGCGCCGCTTCCGTGGCAACTGTCACTACTGTGGCAAGTATGGACACCGTGCAGCAGAGTGTCGCAAGAAGCAACGCGACAACGGAGCAACAGGCTTCACTGCACAGGCACAGCATCAACATGGTCAAGACGCAGCAACCTTCGTCGCTGCCACAGCTACTACACCCACGCAGCTGCATGACCCACTCACGTGGCTTGCAGATACGGGTGCTTCACACCACCTCACCTTCGTCAAGGACGCCTTCGTGGAGCTGACACCGCACCTGCAACAGCACCATCCACGCCACATCACTGCGTTTGGCGGCACACGTGTGCCCGTGCGCGGTGTTGGCTCTGTGCTGTTGCATGCACGCACGACGAGCGGAGCTACGATGCAGATTGTGCTACAGGAGTGCCTCTACGTGCCCGAGGGCCAGGCCAACCTCATCGCCCTCGGTCGTCTGACCAGGGACAGCAGCGGCAGGCCAACGGGCCACTCGCAGCGTGATGGCGCTGATGGGCACTACGTGCGTTTCAGCCACGGAGCCGAGGTCAAGCTGAAGGAGCGCAACAGCCTCCGGTGCTGGCCCATTGTTGCTGTTGGTCCACCCACAGCACACGGACTCACCGCCGATGCCTGCAAGCAACCACAGCAACCCGCAGCAGCTCCTGCAGCCCAGAGCAAGGTGCAGACACCATCGATGCATGAGGTACTTGGCCACCGCAACGACAACGACGTGCAGCAGTACTGCAAGCTGATGGGCATCGATGATTGCAACGCCATCAGCAGCAAGCAGTGTACAACGTGCGCAGTGACCAAGAGCACTCGTCACAGCGTCAGCAAGCACGCGGAACGCACACAGGTGCCCGGCGAGCGCATCCACGCCGACATCGTCGACTGGACCGCGGACTCACCCACGGGCAAGCGCTACAGCCTCGTCATCGTCGATGAGGGAAGCAAGCTCCTGCATGCAGTCCATCTCAACGCCAAGAAGGACGCAGTTGCCGCGTTCCAGTCTTTCCTGCGCGAGACCAAGCTCCCCATCTCGCCCACAACAACAGCACTCCAGACGGATTCCGATGCCATCTTCCTCGGAGCTGACTTCCAGGCCATCGTCAAGAAGCACCTGAAGCAGCACCAGCAGTCCCCGCCGTACACCCAGGCGCAGAAAGGCATCGTCGAGCGACAGGTGCGCACCCTCTCCGACATGGTGCGAGCCATGGTCACGGGTGCAGGCCTTGACGCATCGTACTGGAGCCTCGCCTGCAACCACGCCCTGCACATCCTCAACAACATGCCTCGCCCTTCCCTCCACGGCAAGACACCGCTGCAGATTGTCACGGGCTCGCTGCCCAAGCACGTGCCGCAGCTGCACGTCTTCGGGCAGCCGGCCGTCGTCCACATCAGCACACA